AATATTTCAATACAATTAGATTACCACCACAAAACATAAAATAGACTCTTAAACTTCCACATAGTACACATTTGGGGAGCAGCTAAAGTACATGAAATTATTTTGATAATTATCACTATTTATTTAACTTATGCACATATGCACAAGTCTAAATTAAATGTGCAGACATAAGTAGCACATTTTAACTTCCTGTTTTATATCCTTAAAGTAACAGTTTCTGGAACCCAGTGAAAATAAATACCCCCCCTCCAAAAAAAAAAAAAAAAAAAAAAAAACAGTCCAGCTGTCCTGGAACTCACTATGTAGACTAAGCTGGCTTTGAACTCAGAACTGCCTGCTCTGCCTCCCAAGGGCTGGGACTAAAAGCATACACCACTATGCCTGGCACAAAAATAAACTTCTCAAGTAACTATTTCTGAAATTTTTATAGTTCACTTAATCACTCATATGTGAAGAATGTCATGATTTAATTTTTAAATGTAATGTCTTTATTGTTAAGTTTACTTACACAATAAAAAAATAAGTAAGGCACTTCATATTGCCTTCCAAATATGCTTTCTCTTGCCTGTAACATATCAGTCTGGGATTATCCTGGATGAGTCACAGAGCATTTCAGTCTTATTTTTAGAAATACAGGGGTACAGAAGTCCTTACTATAGAGACATTTAAAATAACTCCAGTGGTTTTCTTCAGGAAATAAGGACACTGTTAAATGTCAGTGCCATCCCAGCACCCATTATGGAGGCAACAATTTCTTCGAAATGCTTATGGCTACATTTGTTTTCATTCATTGTATAAAGTAACACTGCCATTGGCCTCCATGGAATTTTGTTTTATTTTTTGGCTTCCACGGAATTTTATAGGGAATGGAATTAGTCAACTTTGTCAAGGTAGGTATTTTCCCCTCTCCTTCAAAAAGTCATAACTCTCTGATTATAAACAACTAAAAGGATTCTGTCCACTCATCTCTTACAAATTAACTGTAGTCTGAAAAAGCACTAATTTCATAGATAATCATTTTTCTACTCCTTGTTCTTTGTAAAAGGTAGAAAGTTGAAAACAATTATGACATACTATAGTGCGGTCCAGTAAGGAAAAACAATCCAAGTGACGGAGGAGACTGATTTTGCAAATAGCAGTAACTTGCTAGGTTTGTGGGTAAATTTTATTTGCTTTGCTGTTTCAATGTTTTCTATAATATATAAACATTTTTACTGATAAGACAGAATTATATATAACACTGTATTTCATTTGTGTGTAGTTAATATAACACTGTCTCGTTTTAATATAAAGCTTTAAAGCTTCTTTCTAAACATATCTGAACATGTGTTGCACACCAATAACTCCAGCACAAGAGAGACTGAGGCAGGAGAATCGAAGTTCAAAGTCAGCCTATGTTACATAACAAAACCTTATCCAAACAAAAAGGAAGAAGAAAGCTGGGCGGTGGTGGTGCACACTTTTATCCCAGCACTCAGTAGGCAGAGGCAGGCAGATTTAAGAGATTGAAGCCAGCCTGGTCTACAGAGTGAGTTCCAGGACAGCCAGAGCTACACAGAGTAACTTTGTCTCGAAAAACCAAAATAAAATAAAATAAAAAGGAAGAAAAAAGTCTCAAAAATAGTAAAATATTCAATCGGAAGCTTTATTTATTGGCTGGAAATCTAAAGGAACACATTTTCACAATTTTAGAGGTGACTTCTGGTCCTTCAAAGGATTTGGAAATTTCATATAACGTGCATAATCCTATTAAGTTTCTTTTGTTCTATCTAACCGCGTATTTCTTACAATATGTTAAAAGAACTAATATTTAGTGATGCCGAGCGTGTTGATTTTTTTAACTAATTTTTAAGTTAGCATAAATGATGAGTTTCATAATGGCACTTTCATAACTATTACAGCTATACCTCGGGGGTTTTGTTTGTTTGTTTGTTTGGTTGGTTGGTTGGTTTTTTGTTTGTTTTTGTGGGTGTTTTTTGTTTTTGCAGACAAAGTTTCTCTATGTAGCCTTGGCTGTCTTAGAACTCATTCCGTAGACCAGGCTGGTCTTGAACTCAGAGATATACATACTGTTATACCTAGTTCTATTTCGGTGCCCTCCTTCTTGCCTCCAGCCCCGCCATCCCTCACCCCACCCTAACCAAAGCGCCCTGGTTCCCTTCCTCAATTAAACAGTCCCTCCTTCTGTTTTGTTGTTTTGTTTTGTTTTGTTTTCTTGAGACAGGGTTTCTCTGTGTAGCTTTGTGCCTTTCCTGGATCTTGCTCTGTAGACCAGGCTGGCCTGTTTTGTGCTGCTTGTATTCGATTACTGAGTCTCCCTCTCTTAAAAACTTTCTCGCCTTTGGTGATCTCCTTTCTGGTTTCTTCTCTCTCTCTCTCTCTCTCTCTCTCTCTCTCTCTCTCTCTCTCTCTCTCACACACACACACACACACACACACACACTCATGCACGCATCAGTATT